GAACTGTTTCCCCTAAAAATGTTTTAATATACTTAAGAAAAGATTTTCTGCAATTATGCTATCACTACGTACATTGTAAAATAGGGCACTATATTCTAGTAATCTGCTTTGGATCCATCTATGAAAGGAGACTCAAAACCTTTTCATTCCTACCATGCCTAAATTCAAAACATCCCATTGTTTTTCTACAAAGTCGGTTTCCTGGTGATGAGAGCCACAGGTCTGCCTGTGGGACGCTAGCACCTGGCCTGCCTGTTGCAAACACTCTAGGTCCCACAGCCCTTCAGAGCCAAGAGAGGGGACCTGTAGGGAGGGGAGATTTGCCCTGCACATGCCAGTGGGGTATAGCAGAGTCCAGAAGCTGGGCCCGCAGGCCACACTTGGAACCTGGACTATGAGGACAGGAGCAATGCTCAGTTCCCAGAGCAGCACACTGTATGTGGGCTGGGCACCTTCCTGGAACTGAACCCAACAAAGCAGCCCACTCTGGTGAGGAACCAGTAAAATAAGGCTGAAAACCTTTGTGTCAGGGATCCTATCCCATCCTGGTGCATCCTTATGCAACCCCACGCTGTGGGCCAGGCCTACTCATGAGGCTTCCTTTCAACACATCTTCTAAGATGCATAACACATCATAAGGTTTTCCCACATTGCTTACATTCATAAGGTTTTCCTGCAGAATGTGTACTTCCATGCTTTCTATGAGACTTGGGAGAAACTGAAAACTTTTTTTCCTTCTTCTTCTTTTAGAAACTGAAAACTTAACCACATTCCTTACATAGAGTATTTTTCCACTGTGTGTGCTTAAATGTTTTGGCAAAACCATTTGATTTCTCTCACATCAATATAGCTCTGTCTTTCCCTCTGACTTCCACTCTCCCAATGGAAAACTATCCTCAGGTGAGGATTAAAAAGACCTAGGATGGGAGAAACCAAGATGGCAGAATAGGTAAACACCTAAACTGCAGCTTCGAACGACAATTTCAAAATTACAACTAAAAGACAAAACAGACATCATCCAGAACCACAGGAAAGCTGACTGGAAATTCTACAACTAGAAAGAGAAAACCACAAGGAAAACCAGAGGATCTGTAAAAGCCTGAGGTACAGAGACACAGGCGCGCACGTGTGGAGAGGATGGAGCTGGAGCCGAGTGGGGAGGAAGGGGTGGGCTGAGAGCCTGGCTGGCATTCTCTAGCAGGAAGGAGCTAAAAGCTCTGGACTGTGCCGAACCCCTGTTCTGACTACAGTAAACCCCAGCTCTGGGCGAGACCCTGGGGACTCAAGCTCATACGGGGGGAATCTGGGCTGTAAGGCAGAAACTCAGGAAAGCAGCAAAAGGCAGATATCCAGAGGCACACATGTGAATGCACGCAGAGGACGGACTGTTGACTGTGCCGTTGGATTGCCCTAGCAGAAAGGAGACAAAAGCTCCGGATTGCGCTGAGCCCCAGCTCTGACTGCACTGAACCCCAGTTCCGGGCCAGATCATGGGGACCCAGGCTCATACGGAGGGAGTCTGGGCTGTAAGGTGGAAACTCAGGGGAGTGGTGAAAGGCAGACTCGAGGGGCCCGCACGTGAATACATGCAGAGGATGCACTGTTGACTGTGCTACTGGATTGTCCTGTCTGGCCGAGGGTGAAATTTGAGGGCACCTTTCTCTCAGAGAGGGACACTGAGACCCAGGAACCTCATAGGGTGGGGCTGACAAGAAGCCAAGGTTGTAGGCTCCACCCTGAAACTCTGCCCCATCCAAGCTGAGCACAGAGGCTTTTGCAAGTTGAGTTGAATAAGGCTGTCTCCCGGCAAAAACATAGCTGATCCTCAGAGCCAACTGGCCTGGAGGGCAACTCCTCCCACTGATAACAACAATCAAGACTTCACTGCAACAAGGCTGTACACACAGTCCACAAAGGGTTCACCAAGAGTGTCCACCTCAGATAACTGGGAAGGCCGAACCACTGGCCCATATAGGACACCTAACACATAAAGCTATCCTACCAACTCAGGGAAGCAGCAAAAATGCAGAGACAAAGAAACAGATCACAAACAAATGAAATAGAGGAAAACAAATGACTGGAGAGTTCAAAACCACAGTTATAAGGTTTTTCAAGAATTTCCTAGACAAAGCCAATAAATTTAGCCAAACCCTCGAAAATATGAGAGAGACCCTAGAGATTATGGAAAAGGATCAACTAGAAATTAAACATACACTGACTGAAATAAAAAATATTATACAGATACCCAACAGCAAACTAGAGGAATGCAAAGATTTCAAATACAAAGAAGCAAAAATCACTCAACTGTTAAAGCTAAAAGAAAAAAAGAATCCAAATAGTTGAAAATAGACAAACCGGTTTGGCTCAATGGATAGAGCGTCAGCTTGGGGACTGAAGGGTCCCGGGTTCGATTCCGGACAAGGGCATGTACCTTGGTTTCAGGCACATCCCCAGTGGGGGGTGTGCAGGAGGCAGCTGATCGATGACTCTCTCTCATCGATGTTTCTAACTCTCTCTCTCTCTCCCTCTCTGTACAAAAATCAAAAAACAAACAAACAAACAAACAAAAAAGTTGAAGATAGTGTAAGAAGCCTCTGGGACAATGTCAAGCATATCAACATCAGAATTATGTAGGTGCCAGAAGAGAGAGCAAATACTGAAAACCTATTTGAAGAAATAATGACTGAAAACTTTCCCCACTTGGTGAAAGAAATAGACTTACAAATCCAGGAAGCGCACAGAACCCCAAACAAAAGGAATCCAAAGAGGACCATACAAAGACACATCATAATTAAAATGCCAAGAGCAAAAGACAGAGAGAACATTAAAAGCAGCAAAAGAAAAAACAGTTAATTACCTACAAGGGAGCACCCATATGATTATCAGCTGATTTCCCAACAGAAACTATGCAGGCTAGACAGAAGTGGCAAGAAATACTCAAAGCAAGAATCTACAACCAAGAGTACTCTACCCAGCCAAGCTGACATTCAGAATTGAAGGTCAGCTAAAGAGCTTCATAGATAAGAAAAAGCTAAAGGAGTTCATCAACACCAAATCAGTATTATATGAAATGCTGAAAAGTATTCTCTAAGGGAAGAAAAGGTAAACATAAACATTATGAACAACAAATACATATCTATCAATAAGTGAATCTAAAAATCAAGTGAATTAAAAATCTGATGAACAGAATAAACTGGTGAATATAATAGAATCAGGGGCATAGAAAGGGAGTGGACTGACAATTCTCAGGGGGAAAAGAGTGTGGAAAGACACTGGACAAAAGTTGTACACCAATGGATGAGGACAGTGAGGGGGAGGTAAGGGAAGAGGGTGGGATGGGAACCAGGTGGAGGGAAGCTATGGGGGGGGGGGGGGGAGAGTAACAACTGTAATAATCTGAACAATAAAGATTTATTAAATTATATATAGAACTACAATGGCCAAAGGCTTTTCTATACTCTACACAGTAGGGCTTATTTTCAGTGAGAGTTCTCTCATTCATTATGATTTATCTCCACTATTAGTGTCATTAGTGTTTTTGTGATTTCTGAAGGGAATTAAGATGAATAAACACTTTCCCCCATGGCTTACATTCATAGGGTTTTTCCTTATTATGAGTTCTTCTATGATATAAGAGGGAACTTAAGTGAAAGTTTTAGCAAATTCCTTACATTCATAGGGTTTTCTCTCACTATGAGTTCTTTCATGATGGCAAAGGATCTTGGACAGGAGAAAATTTTACCACTATGGTTACATTCAGAGGGTTTTTCCCAAGTATGAAATTTTTCGTGATTTCTTAGCAAAGAGGAATGAAGGAAAGCTTTGCCACATTCCTTACATTCATGAGGCATCTTTCCATGAGTTACTTTATGTTCTCTAAGACATTTGGCAGAAAAAAAGGCTTTCTCATATTTCTTACATTTGTATGGTTTCTCCCCAGTATGTATTCTTTCATGATTTCTAAGGGAAGCGGAATATATGAAAAGTTTTCCTAAATTTCTTACATTCATATGATTTCTCCCCAGTACACATTTTTTCATAATTCCTAAGAAGATGCACAGAGACTAAAAGCCTTACCACACTGCTGACATACATGGGGCTTTTTATCCAGAGTGTGTTCCTTCATGATATTGGAGGGGAGCTGCAAAAGATATACCTATACCATTATGCTTACATTCTTAGGGTTTTGATACAATATGAATTTTTTCCATGCGTGCTAAGAGGGATAAGGAAAGGTTTTATCATGTTGCTTACAATCCTGAGGCTTCTGTCTGTCATGATTTCTTCTGTTTTCCAAGAGAGCTGCTATAATGGAAGGCTTTCCCACATCATTTACATTGATAGGGTTTTCCCCCTGTATTCATTCTTTCATAATATTGAAGGAAAAATGAAGACCAAAATTTACCACATAGCTTACATTCACAGGGTTTTTACCCAGAATGAGTTCTTTGATAACTTCTAAGGGAATAGAGATGATGGAATGTTCTACCACATTCCTTACATTCATGAGGCTTCTTTCCATCATGAATGCTTTTGTGATAACCAAGAGAGCTGTGGAAACTGAAAGACTTTCCTATGTTGGTTATATTTATAGGGTTTTTCTTACTTTGAGTCCTTTCATGACATTGCAGGATAAATCTTTATCACAATGATTATATTCATGTTTTGTGCCAGTAAGAGGACTTTCATGAAGTCAAGGTGATATTGACCATAAAATGTTTTACCACATTGCATACATTCATGAGGCTTCTATCTGGCATGAGTTTTTTTATGATTTCCAAGAGAGCTGGGGAAAGCGAAGACTTTCCCACATTCCTTACATTGATAAGGTTTTTCCCCAGTATGCATTCCTTTGTGATATTTAAGGGAAGCTGAAGCAGAGAAAACTTTACCACACACCGTACATTCGTAGGGTTTCTCCCCAGTATGGGTTCTTTCATGATACTGAAGAGAAGATTGATAATAGAAACCTTTACCACAATGCTTACATTCATAGCGTTTTACCAGAGTATGAATTCTTTCATGCTCTCTAAGGCGATAGGGCCGACAGAATGTCTTACCACATTCCTTACATTCGTGAGGCTTCTTTCTGTCATGAGTTTTTTTATGTTTTTTAAGAGAGCTGCTAGAATGGAAGGCTTTCCCACATTGCTTACATTCATAGGGTTTCTCTCCAGTGTGGATCCTTTCATGATTTCTAAGAAAATTGGCATGTATGAAAGCTTTCCCACATTGTTTACATTCAAAAGGTTTTTCCCCAGTATGCATTCTTTCATGATTTCTAAGGAAAGAAGGATAAGGAAAAGTTTTACCACATTCCTTACATTCATGAGGCTTCTTGTTGTGATGATTTTTTTTATGATTAACAAGAGAGCTGCTATAATGGAAAGCTTTCCCACATTGTTTACACTCATAAGGTTTCTCCCCAGTATGGATCCTTTCATGATTTTTAAGAAAAGTGGAGTCTATGAAAGCTTTCCCACATTGTTTACAATGAATGGGTTTCTCTGCAATATGTGTTCTTTCATGTTTTTTAAGAGAACTGGGATGTGTGAAAGCTAGCCCACATTGCTTACATTCATAGGGTTTTTCGCCAGTATGGATTCTTTCGTGCATTCTAAGGAAAGAGGGATAAAGGAAAGTTTTACCACATTCCTTACATTCATAAGGCATTTTTCCGGCATGACTTCTTTGATGTTGAACAAGAGAGCTGCTAGAATGGAAGGCTTTCCCACATTGTTCACATTGAATGGGTTTCTCTGCAGTATGTGTTCTTTCATGATTTCTAAGAGAACTGATATATGTGAAAGCTTTCCCACACTGTTTACACTGAATGGGTTTCTCTGCAGTATGTGTTTTTCCATGATTTCTAAGAGAACTGATAAATGTGAAAGCTTTCCCACATTGCTTGCATTTATAGGGTTTTTCCCCAGTATGCATTCTTTCATGAACTCTAAGGTAAGAGGGATAAAGGAAAGTTTTGCCACATTCCTTACATTCATGAGGCTTCTTTTCTTCATGACTTCTTTGATGACTTCTAAGAGAACTGAGCAAACTGAAGACTTTCCCACATTGCTTACATTCATAAGGTTTCTTGCCTGTACGTGTTCTTTCATGATTTCTAAGAGAAGTGGAACTGAATGCTTTACCAGATTTCTTACATTCATAGGGCTTTTTTCCAGTGTGTGTTCTTTTATTTTTTCCAGAGTACTTGGGAGAACTGAAAGCTTTACCACATTGTTTACTTTGATATGGTTTCTCTTCACTATGAGTATTTTTGTGATGTTTAAAGTTAATGAGACGTCTAAAGCCTTTCCCACATTGCTCACACTCATAGGGTTTCCTAGGAATATGCGTCCTTTCATGATTTCTAAGGGCAGTTGAATAATGGAAAGTTTTCCCATTGGGGCTGCCTTCATGGCTCTGAGTATGTCGGTGAGGCTTTAAAGCTTTCTCAGGTTCCTTATACTTATAAGGTTTTTCTTCATATTCCTGAAACAGGTACAGTTTGCGTCTAATGTGAGAGTTCAGGTGATTATTCAAGGATAAGTAACGTATAAAGAGTTGCCTACACAACCTGCATTTAGGTTGTTTTATTTCAGGAATTTCCTTCTTTTCATTATGATTTGGAATCTGGCAGAAGTTTTCTCTGCATTGACTACCATCCTTCCTTGTCCAGATTTTCTCTACCATATGATTGCTGTAAAAATGAAAAGCATATTAATACTCTCTTAATGATTTAATATTAATAGCTTCACAATTACATTTTTACTATTTTCAAAGAAAGAGAAGGGTTTCTGAACATTCCATTTTTTTAAGGTGGAAATCTTAATGATAACACTTATGTTCTTTAATGGTACTTCTGTATATTGGTTCCAAGTGGAATTATTTTTTATACATTTAACATATAGGTCATATGTAAGAAATAATATTTTGATGAGAATATTCTAAAAATCAATACATTTAAAATTGGACTGATCCAATTGGATTATCTGTTTTTAAGATTCTTTTGTGGATTGGGCCCATAAGGCTCAGTGGGTAGACTCACCCACCAAGGGCTTACCAGTTCAATTCTCTGAAAGTGAACATGGGCAGACTCCAGTACAGGGCATACAAGAGGCAGCCTATTGATATTTCGATCTCTCCCTCTCACTTCCACATACTAAAATCAAAAACATATTTTGCACCACCAGTGAGGCTCAGTGGTTGAGCACTGATCTCTAAACCAGATGGACATAGTTCAATTTCTGGGTCAGGGCACATTTCCAGGTTCTGGATAGGATTCTGAATGTGTGACATGCACGAGGCAGCCATCAATAATTCTCTCTCATCATTGATGTTTCTTTCTCTTTCTCCCTCTTCCTACCTCTAAGAAACAAATTTTTTAAATATTAAGAAAATAAATAAAAAATATAAGAACATATTTAAGAAAATACACAATGATGCTCTTAATGCTTGTCATGTCAATGTGACTCACCTAAGATTCCTCCCATGATTTTCATACTGATGTTCCTTGTCATGGTCATCACATTGTTCTTCCAAAATACATGCTAGAAAAAGCATTATATACTATTAAAGAATATTAAAAAATGGCTAGATTTTAGGGACACAATAAGCGGTGATCATTACTAGTTTAATTATCAATATACTCCATTCCCATATTTAATTTCTTCAAACAGTATTAATGAGCAAGCAACACTAGTTTTCTAACTGACTAATTAAGTAACAAGTTGTTGCAGGCCAAAGTTGTTCTATGGTTGACCATCAACCTATGAACTGGTATGAACTGGGAGGACACAAGTCAAGATCCAGTAGCACTGGTATGCAGGCTAGATCCCCAGTGTGAGACTCACAGAAGATACCCAATCAGTGATTCTCTCATCATTGATTTTTCTCTCATTCTCTCCCTCTCCTTCCTCTCTAAAATCAAAAAAAATATTTTAAAAAATAATTTATGATACCTACCCACAGATGCCAGGTTCCAGAATGTTTCCAACATCACATCTGTGTAGAATTTCTTCTGGGTTGGATCCAGGAAAGCCCACTCATCCGTGGTGAACTCCACATTAACATCCTCAAAGGCCACTGAGTCCTAAAACATCCCACATATGCATATGGGAGAATGGGTGAGATAGACAGCACTGAGGACCTTAGTGAGTTAATAATTCATAAGAAGTTCACATAGGACACATGGTCCCCTACACTCAGTCTATGACTTAATTATAGTAAGACTATTATTAATTTGCTTCACTCATTTCCTCAAGAACGCATGGAACTTCTTGATAGGATTTACTGGGATCACTTCAAGTCTTCATTGCTCTCTAATGCCAGGGGAAAGAGTACCTTGAACAACTTTTATAGTAATACATTTAAATACTAGAATTTTAAGCCCATCCATTCCTGTGAGAAAATCTCCATTATAACCAACATTTGATGCAGCTATCCATGAAACATACTGTGTTATCTGCATAAAGTACTAGTCTGTGAACAAGGGCCTAGTAGCTTACTCTTCTATTCTCATCACCAAACAGGAGGCCAGGCCATGTGTGGAAATTCAAATAAGAACAAAATGTACTTGGCGATATTGTCCTGAAGTACACCAGATTATTAGAAGTACACCTGAATGAATATAAATATTCTTATGGAGGAGAATGAACGATCATTTGTTTTTATATTATTTATCAGTAACTCAGACCTTATTTTGCCACTCTCATTTCATGGAGATAGGACGTTACAATTAGAAATCAGACATGAGCAAGACAGGGCAACTTAGCCCTCAACAAAAGTCCTCTACTCATGAGCCTAAGGGTTACTTCATACTGATTTATAAGACACATAGACACATATATTGAAATTGTAAGATCACATTCAAAAGAAGTCTTTCTGGCAGAATTGTGACTCTAATGGGGGCCTGGAACTTAAGGAACAATTTAAGACTTGGCATGTACAAGGGCCTTTATTAATATCTTAATATTTTCATGTTGGAATTAGTTTTACCTGAAACTAATATAAAATAAAATATAAACTATAATTGGAATGTAAACTGTAATTGGCAGTACACAGTATATGATGTTTATGGAGAAAAAATTTAATATAATTAAAATGTCCATAAAACCCAAAGCAATCTATAGCTTCAATGCAATTCCTATCAAGATACCCATGATGAAACTCACATAACTAGAATATTCAAAAATTTTACATAAACCGCTGAAACCGGTTTGGCTCCATGGATAGAGCGTCAGCTTGGGGACTGAAGGGACCCGGGTTTGATTCCAGTCAAGGGCATGTACCTTGGTTGCGGGCATATCCCCAGTAGGGGGTGTGCAAGAGGCAGCTGATTGATGACTCTCTCTCATCAATGTTTCTAACTCTGTACCTCTCACCCTTCCTCTCTGTACAAAATCAATAAAATATATTTTTTAAAAATTTTTTTACATAAACCTTAGAACACCTTGAATAGCAACAACAATCTTGAGGAAGAAGAACAAATGTGGATGAATCACACTACCTAATATTGAACTGTACTACAAGGCCACAGTAATCAAAACAGCATGGTCTTGGCCTAAAAACAGCATATAAATCAGTGGAACTGAACAGAGAGCCTAGAGATAAGCTTCTTCTAAGGCTAATGTCCCAGTCCATTCTTTTACGAATAACCATTTAATTACTGTAGGATTTTTTTCTGTTTCTGTTTTTTAAAAACTATTCTAATTTTTAAATACCTTTTTATTTATTTCAGAGAAGAAATGAGGGAATACACAGATAGAAGCATCAATGACAAGAGGGAATCCTTAATTGGCTGCTTCTGCACGTTAGATGGAGCCCACAACCCAGGCATGTTATGTGCCCTTGACCAGATTCAAACCTGGGACTCTTTGGTCCACAGGCCAATGCTCTATCCACTAAGCCAAACTGCCTAAGACAATAACTCTTCTTATAGGTAAGATTTTATGTTATTAGACTACTCAAAAAGAAAAAGATATGGGAAATAATTATTTACATCCCACAAGTCTTTTTCCTAGGAGGATTAGAACTGTAGAAGTGCCTTCCACAAGGCTGCAGAAATAGCAGTAGGGGGCCACTCCCATTTTTTCAAAAAAAAAAAAAAATAAAGGCCAGTGATTTATCCCTGTTACAAAATTTGGCAAGAAAATTACTTGGGTAATAATTGACTTTAAAAGTTCAAAAGTAGTAAAAGGAAAATAGATATAACTAACATGAAAGGTAGCCGAAACCAGTTTGGCTCAGTGGATAGAGCGAGGGCCTGCAGACTGAAAGATCCAGGGTTCAATTCCAGTCAAGGTTCCATGTACCAGTAGGGGCTGTGCAAGAGGCAGCTGATCAATGTTTCTCTCTCATCGATGTTTCTAACTCTCTCTTCTTCTCTCTTCCTCTCTGTAAAAAATCAATAAAATATATTTTAAATAAATAAATAAATAAAATGAAGGGTATATGATAAAGCTTTATCAGGGGTAATTATATATGCCTAAACAGTTTTCCAAAGTCTTTGGTAACTTAAAATATTGGAGTTTTCTGGATTAAATAGTAAAAATTATTAAATATCTAGGTGTTTTGAAATTACAGGATACTGAAATATTAATCTGAATTTGCCTCATTTGCAGAATCTAGAGGATGGATTTGAATCTGTTAATGACTAAGTCTTGTATTTTATTTGAAGCAGCTCTTAAAATGTGAATGTACTGATTATCTGAGGAATGACAATTACTTACATGCTACCGAAATATTAAGATTTTTTAAGGATTAAGAATACTAATCGGAAAGAAATATTGCTTTGGTGTAATGGAAGGCATGAGGCATGGAGATGCATTTTGAAGAAAAAAGAAAGTGAAATCTAAAGTGGTTATTTTGAGTTATAAGATGTCTGAAGATTTGTGAAAGTGGTAGAACGTTTGTGGAAGTTGTGGGATTTTGTGATGAGAAATGTTGAAAGAAAAATATATAAATGACAGAGGCCAATAAGCCAGCACCAGGGGAATAGGGAAACTGAGGTGGTTGAACAGCAATTTGGAGCCATCTGGTAAATCCCATCTTCCTAAACCAAGTACATTTAAGAGGAAATGATTTGCATTTTGCCTCCCTAACCAGAGGGTATAACCAGAAGGTAAATACCATGTTTCCCCGAAAATAAGACATCCTCCAAAAATAAGACCTACTTACAGGTTCCTTCTGAGTGAAATATAAGGCATCCCCCTGAAAATAAGGCCCTCCCAGGCTAAACATGAGAGATTTGGTCCACTGATTCTGAAAGAAATGGAGTCACAAGAAATTCACCAGGAAATTCAGGAATTGGATTGTTATGATGATGTTCCAGAAGATGACATGATTGTCACTGAATAAATGAGTAAATTCTTGATACTGCAGGATTCAGTTTGTCTGGTTTGTGTTGACAACTACCTACTACCGTACCGTATACAGGTAATAAATTTCCTTTATCTTCATTTAACAATAAATGTGTACTGTATTCTTCTTCATGAAAAAATAAGACATCCCCTGAAAATAAGACTTAGTGCATCTTTGGGAGCAAAAATTAATATAAGACACTGTCTTATTTTCGTGGAAACAGGGTATTTTACATCAATGTATTCAGGGAGACAAAAAGCAGAAATCCAATTAGTGTCATTTGCTGACCACACCCAAGGACAAATGAAGTTAGAGAATAAACCTTATTTTGGATAGTCCTTTTCTTGTCTGGTAAAATTGAAAAGATCTTTCCTATTTTCCTACCTAGGAAGCAAAAGTCCTATAAATTATTAAAATGATTATATTAATCAGGAATTTCTTTTAAAGCAATCTTTTCATTCATGGGAATTGAAGTTAGCTAGCCTATGTTTGATATATGAACTTTTGATATATGAATTTTAACACACTTTGATATATGAACTTTTAGTTACATAAACTTGACAATTCTTCCAGGGTTTGAATTTTACAAAACTTTTTCTTGACCTAGAATTGGCTTTTGATCATTCCAATTGGCTCTGGAATGCATCAAGTATTTGTTTCCTCTCTCATGAAGGAAAAATATCTGCTATAACACATGGGAAGCTTTGTCAAATAATAACTATATTATGCTTTTATTTGCAGCTCTGTTATTCAGGAATATTGTGTTTTGCAGAAAGGACAATATTCCATGTCATTTACAAGTATTACTGATTCTTAAACTTTTTGTTTTTTAGATATAAGAAAGCATTTTTAAAGCAATTTGATAAATTATATTTATTTCTCTCCCTAATTGTCCCTCCAGTAATTGGTAATTTTTAATAAGTAGCAATAAAGTTCTTTGCATGAATTCAATAAGACTTGTTCCAATTGCAGCTATATTAACCAGGGAAATGGGCTTGCTTATAGCAGCCTTGGCTTCACTGCCTTTTGCAGATCTTTGTCCATCCAGCATTCCATGGGAATCCCTTACAATCCACAAGGGCAGGCCACCATTGAATGTGCCCTCGGAACACTAAAGAGTATCTTAGTACCGTTTCCCCGAAAATAAGACAGTGTCTTATATTAATTTTTGCTCCCAAAGATGCGCTAGGTCTTATTTTCAGGGGATGTCTTATTTTTCCATGCGCTAGGTCTTATTATTGGGGGATGTCTTATTTTGGGGAAACATGGTAAAAAAGGGGGCGGGAGGGAATATGGGACTGAAGGACCCTGCTATTCTACTACTAAATCATTCTTTAGCCTTAATATTTTTACTCTGAATGATCATTTTCAATCTTCTGTAGAACAATGCTTGACCTCAATAACCCCATCTCACAAACCACAAGTCTGGTGGGAGATGTAGACACTAAACACTGGGTGGGACCCAATGAATTATTAACATGGAAGAGAGGATATGTGTGTGTTTCTAGCCCCACAGGGCCACTGTGGATTCCAGCTTGCCAGATTAAACCCTGCCATGGCATGGCAGGGGACCAATCCTCTTCCAGAAATTAGGAGTTTGGGTTTAGGGACTCCGCAGCTCCGAACGATGAGCCTTCCTCACATCCAGAACAATCTGGGGAAATGATGATGAAGCTGATGTCACAGGCTGAGCAATTATTGGAACATACTCACACAATACACATTCCAGATAAGTAACCATTCCTCTTTCTGTTTTTCTCATAGCTTCTAAAATTGAAACTGCAACAGTAAATGCAATTCATGGACTCTGATATTCCAAAGCAAAAAGTTTGTTGCCTCTGTCTTCTTACCAGTACATTCAGCAAAACAAAAAAAGGGGAAGATGTTGGGAGTACCTGAGACTTGGTTGGAAAGTTTGTAAGGAGGAGATTCCGAAGAAAGGGAAGTGTGTGAAAGGCTGCCTGCCCTGTTTATTGAAATTCCGACCTGGGATGTGCCAAAGGTGGTGCTCCTAATTATTTCTTGACCTTTCCAAACAATTCTGTGCCTGGCCAGACACCGGGTGTTTACTAGAATCCTTATACTTAATCTTTGGGTATGCTTGCTTAAAGAATATTACAAACACAAGTTTCCCCCCAAATTACTCACTTGAAAGATAAACCTTATCTTAAACTGCTATTACAATAAAAGTCTAATGAGGCAGACAATCAAGGCTGTTGGGTTACTTTAGCCAGGCAGTACCTTAGGCCTCTCTTTCACAGCAAACTTTGTGTCAGAGTAATCCATTTATCCTTATGTTAAGGTCTGCAGGTCAGCCCTGCAATGATTCAGCCATTTTACTTCTGGGAATATA